GCCCGGGAGCTCCACCGCATTCCTTCCTCGGCAAAGCCCCCACTTCTCGCCACACAATCCTCCCCGGGTCCTGGAAAGTAGCCGAGGCAGCACAAATGTCCTTTTCTTGTTTCTGTCCACCCCTCTCTTCTCGCCCCTGACACAGGAGCTGTTGTTGTTTTTCTTTTATTCTCATTCTGCTGCGTTTTCTTTTGGCATTTTTCGAAATTAGTTTTTGCTCTGTGCGAGTCGAGTTGGAAAAGGAAAGCGATGGGGATGGCGGAGAGGGGGGGAAAAGGACGAGGGAAGATCAAGGAGCGAGGGGGACGAAGACGGAGTCGAGTCGGTTTTAATATATAGCATCCCATACATATTTATAGAGCTGCGGCACATTCATCTTCAGACCCTCGCACGGCACCGAGGCAGCAGCCCCCCATTCCACCCACTCACCCACTCACCCACTCGCCCGCTCAGCTGTCACCCACTTAAGTTGGCATAAAGTAGGAAAAATGGTTGTTATTTTCTGCCATTGGCAACATCATCACCAGCCATGAATCCAGTATCCGTTGCGGCGTCAAACTGAAAACGTTAACATTAAGGATGCCCGCTAATTTTCTGAGAAAAAAAGAAAGGATGGATGGGAGCTTGATGAGTCCTGGCCACTTAAAAATGCCACTTGGACACATCTGGTGCTCCAACTTGGGATTTATCTTAGTGTCCTTAAGGAGTGTGGAGCAAGAGGCCTAACCCTGGACCAAGCTGACCTGCTCGGGCAGGATGCACAGTGGTAGAGGGATAAATATTTCAAAGATAATTATAAAGATATTTGAAATATTAGTTTTAATTTAGATAATTCATATTAAATTAAATTAAATTTAGGACATAACACTTCAATTGCCAAAAGTTCTACAATTTGAAACCAAACTAGAAACAAGACTAGAAAGCAGGATCAGGATCCTTGACAGAATTTAGATGAGACCCACAGATAATTCATTCGCTCGTTGCGGCACAAAGCCAAGGGGTTGCTGTAAGGACTCGGATATATACACCTAATATCCTTTTTTTTCGCACTTTTCACTCGCCGTCCTGGCTCACGCAATTTGCTTTCCAAAGATGAGAAACAAGAAACAGAAAAAAATAAAAATAAACGAAAATAGGGGGATGGTGGGGCTGCCACTGAGTGGGGAACAACAGTAGCAACAAGAACAAATAAAACATTTTATATAATCTTGGGAAATATATCACACTTAGCTGGGACTTCAACTCGGGCCCCCATCCTCCACCATTACCAAAGTAGAATATTTTCCTTTTCTTTCCAACGTCTCAGCTCTTCCCTGGGCTGTCCTTCCATCTGTCCGAATGTCCTTCTGTCTGTTCTTCCTTCAGGCACCATCTTGCAGCCAAGTTGCTGATGGTGGTGCCCTTGCCGATGGTGGTGGTGCCTTGCCAGGGTGACTTTCCGGTGGGTGGTGGTGTTCATCTTCGCTACGTGCGAGAAAAATACCCTCGAACATATTAAATTGCGAATGCTGAAAATGCTTTATGGCTTTTCAGTTAGATTTATTTCCATTTTGTATGTTTTATTTATTTATATTCGGCTTTGCCAGCCGTTCCACCAAATGTGCCTCGCAGCCATCCCCTCTCGATCCCTGAACTGTGAGGGTGAGTTTTCCTTCGTCGGAATATATATATTTTTGGGTTCGTTTTCGGTTTCAGATACGCCATATATATACGTACGTATATATGTATTTTTTTTTGTTATTGTTGGTGCTGAGAAATGATAGCGAAACTAATCGAAAAATAATTGGATGTTTGGCCCGTTTTTGCCTTTGTCGTGGCCCACTCTCGTTCTTTCGACGCCTTTGCTTTCCTTTTCCATTTTGGCCTCAAAATGAAAAACTTCATCCCAGCACCGACTACCCGACTACCGACTAGTATTCCCAAATGCATCGTAATGTTTAAACAATTTAAAACGAACAGCGTTTGGCTCTTATTTTGACAGCCACAGCTGCCAAATGGCACAAGTCTGGTTAGACGGTTTCTATTTATTTATTGTTTTTTAATAAAAAAAAAGAGCTAAGATTTATATGAGCTGATTTAAAAAGACTTACTAGGCTTAAATATATTTTTTTCAATAAAAAATGTCCTTCAAAATTAGCCTAAAACATGAAATACAGAAGGATAATCAACAATCTAGTACAGCATCAATTACAACAGCCAGATTCTGCAGTCAATGCAAAATAATCAAAATTTATCATGGCCAGGACAATGTCCTGCAGAGAATTTATGCATTAAGTGCAGCCAGCGACGATGGAGGACATCCATTCTCCGATTTCCATTCGCTGTTCCTCTGGAATTCGCGTTGTTTGCTCCAATTTTAATTGAAACGAAGCAACAGAGTTGTAGATGCACTAAAAAAAATCATTCTAGCTAAGAATTAACACTATAAAAATCAAAATAAAATATTCTTAGATTTTTTAAATATTTCAACAACTTTTACTCTCTACCAGTATCAAACTAATATATTTTTTTTAGTGCATTGAAAGCCGGACTCGGCTTTGAAATGTTTGCTGAAATGTTCAACATAATCATGTCCTGGCCAGAGCCAGGGCCAGGACTATACCAAAGCGTACCAACTGTCCTACCAATAAAAGGACTGCACCGAACTGCTGGACACCAAATTAATTTGGAAGACAAAACGCTTGAATGCAAGTTTTCCGATGCGCGAATGCCATTAGCCGAGGGGAATTTGGAAATTGGGGAAAATCGGGGGCTTAGTTGCAGCAGCAGAACACGCGCCAACCGCAAGCTGTGCCAGGATGTGTGTGACAGCCATGCCACAGATCCTGCCGCCTGCCGACGGCCCTATCCTGCCAACTGCCACTTGCCACTGCTGCTATGGAACGTGACACGAAATCGGGACATTGGTGAAATGCGTGTTGGTTCTACCATTGGGTTTTAGGTTTTAGGATGTCTTTACTCCGAGAGTTAGGGCTTTAAAGGAAAGAATTCTATTAAGAAAAATTATGTGAATTCTGAATGAACTCTAGTCTTTTTTTGAAAGAAAAGACAATCCTTTCTGTAATAAATTACCAAGTCCCCTATACATCATCCAATTTAAACCTAGCCAATCAATCTATAAATAAAAACTATATTCTTGCTCACATCTATTTAAAGGACGAAGAACATGCTTGGGCCACAAAATATAATACCCAGCTCGGGGACAGCCACATTGACTGTGAAAACCCCAAAAAATAAGATTTATGCTGCGCATAATCGTTTGGGAAACGGAGGCACATTGGCCGAGAGGGAAGTGGCATGCCACTTACAAGCGCCATAATCATTTCAACAAGAATAATTTTAATAATTATTAAAAGCGATTCAGACGCGTTGATGGTCGCGCCGACAATTACAAACGGCTCGACATTTCTCTGGCAACAGGCCGCCAATTGTTTGTCCTCCCCAGCCACACAGCCACCCAGCCGGCTCATCCCAATCCATTTCACCCAATCCCATCGAGTCCTGGCTGTATGATTGCCTCAGATTTTCTGCTGACTCTTCACATTTTATTTTCGTCCTTTTTTTTCGTTTCGCTGTGATGCGGTTAAAAAATTAATACGCGGAAGGATATGGCAGGCAATTCGTTTTGTGGAAACGCCTCTCAAAACAAAGCCAGGACCAAATACAAAAAAAAAAGTATATCCAACTGAAATTTGAACGCATTTCATTGCTCATGAAAAATTTACATTTGAATAGACGGCTGGAATGGCTGGAGAGGTCGGTCTCTGAGGTCGGGCCGCCGCAGGATGCAGGACAATGGCATCGCAGCTGGGAAGTTCGCCTCCGTGAGCATTTATGTGGCGTATTGTTTTAATTTTCAGAATTATATAAATTTCATTGTGAGTGCACTGAAATGGGTTTTGGTTTGAGGTTGCCATTCGCTGGCAGGAGTTCACGCAATTGAAATTAAATCATAAAGTATAATTGATTGTGGCTAAATTGCAGTTACCAAGGAAAGTTAGAAGCTTCGGATCGAATAATCGTAGAATTCGTTTGAGGTATTGAGGTAAAAAGATTCGTTTGAGGTATTCCGATGAAGAATCCGATGAAAATTGGCAAAGATATGGGCTTCTCTGTGGCCCACAGTGTCCCTCCATGCATTTTTCGGAATTTTGAAGGGAAGCACCCAGAAAATTTGACAAAAAATCTAAAAAATATTTTGTCCTCATATTTTGATGCAGAACAACGGAGAATACAATACTGTATTGTGTTTCAATACAGTTATGAGAAAATTGTTTTATTTTGTAATGTTGTGATGTTTTAATAAAATTCACTTGTAACTAAGTTGCTTTCGACCAGCAATTCACACCCTCTCATATGCCATCTTATGAGTCGCTCGTAATGGAATCCTTCGCTTTATTACCATGCAATATTCATAAATTTCATTTCTACACAACAACATAGAGGAGTGCACCAACATCAACAGCAGCAGCCCCGTTGCAACTACAATAGCGATGCAACAACACAACTGGCAGAGTGCAACAATGGGCAAAATGCATGCAGCTTCACAGCGGAGTTCAAACCAACTCCCAAACTAAGAGCTCGTAGCTCACAGCTCTGAGTACCCCGAATCCGGATGTGCCACGTCCTGCCCCGCTAGTCGACTCGTTTACTTGTTGAAAGGTGTTGAAAGTGTTGGAATATAATAAATAATAGCGCTAAGTACTACTTTAAGAATTTACATGCGGCAATTGCAGCCAGCGGCATCAGAGGCGTGCGAGCTAACGTTCGCGCTCCGCCAAAATCCAAAGCCAACGGCATGAAATTCAAAGTAGAGTTGCACTGAAAAAATTAAAAAAAAATTGTTTCTCATCTCAGTTACCTTTTTAATCTTGGAACATATTTCATACTATTGTCAACTTAAAACTGCCAAGATTCAAAAGTAGTCCTACTATCACACAAGTATCCACACGGATCATACGAATCATAAAACCTAACCAATTGCAACCAAGCTGGTTTTAGATATATTATTAAATCACAATGTCAGTTGTTGGTAAAAGTATCTCAAGTCTAAGGAGTGTAAAGAGTGGTAATGTGGAAATCACGAGCAATGATTCTGGCCACGCCATGGATCGCAAGACCCAAATGTTCGAAAAAAGGAAAACCTTGGAGGCCCGGCGTAAGAGCAAGGGGATGAAATCTATTCGTGTCTCCATGATACCTGAAATGCCTGAAAATTCATGGACTTATAGTTTTTGGACTATGACAAAACGTCATCAGGACGATAAAAAATTCGTTGAACCTGAGTTTGAGTCGAGACTGGAGGCCCCTTCTAAGGCGGATCTATATCTTGGAATTGCATATTCATTAAGGAATGATGACGACAAGGAGCCATTCTATGATCCTTCTTTTAAACGTCACCAAGTTCCACTGTAAGTTTTATTAAAAAATATTAATTTAAATTGTTTTAATTTAATAGGGATTTATTTTTAGCCATGTTCGATGTCTGGAGCGTTTTCAGAAATCCAAAAAAAAGTTTTCCAGCCAATTTAGAAGGGAACTGAGACTTTTAATTGATAATCAACCAAACGCTGATTGTGCTTGGCAATTTGTTAGGTAACTATATTTATAAGTACTTATTTAAACTTAAAATAATATTTATTTGGCCAAAGAACTGTTGCTTATACAACACTTTGGCCGCCAATTCATTCAAGACAGGAGCTTGGAAACTTCGAAAGGGACTTTTTCCAACTAACTCCCAAGGAAAGGGCTCGCCTGGACAAAATTATGAATACTGAATATAATTGAAGTTGGAATTGTTAATACATATTTGGGATTTATATTTTGGATATGTTTGGAAAAAAGAAAGACAAATTCTAAAGAAAAATTAAAGCAAGAATAAAGCTTATTAATACAAGCTAATAGCTAATAATTAATAGTGTGATTTATGTATTTTTATTGCCCACCTTTCCACATATTTCTTTCAGTGTACACAATTTTGACGCCAACATGGCTGCAGGGATTTTGTTACAATCACACTGCCACCATTTGGCTCACACACACTCATACACACACATGACTTTGTGACTTGCATTTTGAATAATCGTCGGACGGTCCTTGTGGAAGGGGGGGCCGCATATGAAGGCGGCTTTTGCATTGTGCGGCGGCAGTGAATCTTTTTCGGGCTGCCCTTTGTCTCCATCCTGCCCAGCCGCCCTCTCTAAGCCATTGTAGCCTCGTGTGTCCTGGCTCCTTCTTGCCCCGTTGCCAGTGTGTTGACTTAATCCTTTTGAGTTTTGCCGCATAAGGAGACGGTGGCTAGCATTAATAGAGCCACCAACCCGTCCAGGGTCTACTCGATGCGTGGCACTCCTCTCGTGCTCCCCTCTCGATAAATAAAACGCCATCAATAATGTCTAAAATAAATGTTGGCTTATTAAATCCCATTTGCCTGCATCAACTTACAGTTAAATGAAATGAAAAATGCTCCCAGCCACTTGGCCAGTGCGGTTAGACCCTGATGTCCTCAAGGAAAGTGAGGCAACATCATCAGCAACATCATCCTCCTTCGGGAGGCAAGAGGCAGCCGAAGCCGCAGCAGATAAAAAATCCATTAAAATAAGAATGCGATAAGGTTTTGGGCCTTGTAGTGAGAGCGTGAAAAAAATCGTCTAAATTTATGCGGCTTTGCCATAAATTTAGCAGGCTATAAGGATATCATTAAAGCGCAACCACACACCCACACAGTTACTAAATAAACACTCACACCAGAGCCCGGGTTCTTGGCAGGATTTCACTTTCATACAATCACTAAGCCGGCGTTTGTCCTTCAAAATAAGGACAGTGGACATTAAATTAATATTATTAAAGAAAATTTTGTGAGCTGTACTTTCAAGTTAATTAAATAAACATTTATTAATCAACTAAACATTATGTTTTTTATTTTCTTACTATAGAATTCAGTTCAATCTTTTACTAAAAATATTTTAATTTATTCCCATTGTATCTCCTTGGAAAACTTACAAAAGCCCAAGCAAGGACACAAGTGAGCACAGCAAAAAAAAGTATATATTTATATGTATAAATATATTGTGTAGAACATTAATAATAATTTTCGATATTTATGACGGGAAACATCGACAAGGCATACGAGTGCCTCCGAGCTTGGAAACGTGAAATGTGATTACAAGGCAAGCGCCACCCAATCAACCCCCCCGAAGATATTCATCTTACATTGATCCTGTTGCCAGCCCGGGGAGGTATCTCTAATGGAGAGGGTATCGCCAGTTCGCCATTTGCATTGGTTGGGCCCCCTGGAACCAAAAAAAAAAGAAGAATATATATATTGGCGAATACTTTTTTTTTGGGCGGGGGCCCGGCAAGTTTTCTTTTACTTCTTGGTGGCCGAAAATAAGTGGAGAAAGAAAGAAAGAGGAATTTCATTTATATCGAAATAAACAACCACTGGAAACCCTCTGTTTGGGCGCACTCCAACGTTATTTATGATGTCATCCATCATTTTTATCGTGAAAAAACATTTTCCTGTCTCAGCCTGCCACTGAGCCAGAGAGCCTGTGAGCCAGCAGCTCCTTTTGCCGGTTCCTGGCGCTGTCATTGGCCAAGGACTTTTTGTGTCGTTTGTCGCTGATGCGAGCCGAAACCGAACCACTGAACCAAACTCCCGGCCAAAAGCGAGCCTGAGAGCCCCCCGTCCCATTCCACCACACATGCCGGAATCCTTGAAGAAATTAGAGAGAAGGTCCCTGCCAAAAGGGACGTAAATTTCCAAAGGACCGACTCTAATGATGCACCCACTCCGCCCACGCACCCGGCCATGTCAGCCTCCATTCAAGCGCACCGCAGCCAACTCTTCCCCCGACTGATGTTAATGAAGTGTATGCGAATGAAATACGGAAAATTACAAATTGCTTTAGCCAAAAACCCGAAAAGAAACTGCAAATGGTGTTTACGATGTTCACGGTTTCCTTTCGATTTCGTTTGAAATTTATGGTGAAAAGCAATTCAGACTCTGGACGATGGTTTCTGGTTTCTGGATCCACCCGAACTCAAGTGGCGCAATATTGGTCAATGACTCACACTTTATCCCTCTCGAACATTAATTAGCGCCTGGCAAGGGCTACGGAATACCAATCCTAATGATTTAATTCGTTTTGGTTTCACAAACAGATCTATTTCGTATTCATAAATAAGCTTGATTCGATATAGCTTGAAAATGAAACGATTTTATGTACTTTTGCTAAGAAAATGGAGTACTGGGCTCTCAAGATCGCTCCTTACATGTCCTGTATGATGGCTGCCAAGTGCATGTAGCACTCACAACTCTCTCATACGAATAATGTGCGCCAAGCAGGGCCATAAATTAAAACGTATTTCACTTGGAAGAAAAAAATCTGCGGCATATAAAACAAATAGCATTAAAAATTGCAAGGCATACATACGATGCGGCTACGTTATTCAAATCGGAGACAGAAATAAGTAAGAGGAAAACAAAAAATAAAACAAATAAATAAGGAAAAATAATATAATCTTCTGTCGCGATGCCAGGGCTCGAAATGCTTGACATCTATTTAAGCAGACTGAGACAGTTGGCCAGAGTGGGGGGATCTGCAACATTGGTCAGAAAACAAAAATGCCTAGGATTTTGGGGCTACAAAATGGTTAAAAGATGGGCCACCAAAAGAAAGAGTTATATAGTATTTAATTTATTTTTAATACTCAAGAATTGTACATCTCGAGAGCGTTAAAGCTTCTTGAATCTGCACTCCAATCTGTGTTTGTTTTCAATGTTGAATATTTGTCGTGTTCACATCTGCAATTTATTTGCCATCATCGGGCATCGAAGTTGTTTATTTATTTGTTTGTTTGTTTGATTGTTTGGTTGTGCGATGTTTGTGTGTATTTGCCATCGGCCATAACTCAAGTTGCGGCACAATGTGATCATTGGATCGCATGATTTGGATTTATTCCCAACGCACCATTGGACATATTGCCGGCATGTGTGCCACACTCGTTCCCAATCACAATCCGCATCCGAATCCACATAGACATCCCCATATTGTAGCAGCTCCTCCTGCCAGTCTTGGGTCATGGCGGTGGGAAATTAACATAATCGAAAAGCGATTCCGAGCCTGTGCACTTTTGTCGCTTTATTTATTCATTCAGTCTGTCAATTTCTGCTGCAGCGAATTCTTTTTTAAGGAATTAATTATTTCGCCACATAAATTCTTTAGATGCCATTTTTTCCAAGAGGGTGCTTGTTAACAGGAAATGGAAAATGACTTCATTTTGTATTCGGAGTGTGGGTGCCCTTCATCAGATCTCATATATAGAAATAACTTTAAACCATAATTAATTGATTTAATTACCTTCCCTTCAATTGGCAAATTACCTTGCCTAATTTTAGAGCCGTTCCAGCCAAGATGCTCCCATCTTAACAAACTATTCAGTGGCCTGTGAGTGACTTATGAATTTGTTAGCCCGAGGGACACTGCCCTGCCCCACCCACCACCTCAATAAAACAATTGAAAAGTGTAGACCCGAATTAGAGTGAACCTTATTGAAACCCTAATGCCCGGCACAATGCAAACAATCCAATAGAAGACCAGGATGCTGGGTCAGTCATGCGGAACCACTTACAAATCCATAAATGTGAATATTATTACTGAAATTGTTGTTGCCTTTGGCATTGTGTGCTCTGGAGATGTCGACTCTGCTCCCAAAGTGGGCGGGGCTGGCTAAGAGGCGGACTGGGAGGCTGACAAACATCGCAATGACTTTAGCAAATAGTCAAGCGCCCAGGGAGAGACTGGGTATGTTTGCACTTTGCTTTTGCCGATTTGCAGTTTTTGGCCTTCTGTGTTTGTTGTTCGAACAAGAATAAATTCCAGTAGTGGCAGTGGCCGGAAACAAACGATTTTATTGCAACTAACATATAGTACTCATACCAACAGGATTCGTTGTATTTCGTTGCATTTATTGTTTTCGTTTACGTCGTATTACATTTCGTATTATTTGCGCTTTTGGATTGTTTGTCTTTTGTTTTGTCAGCAATCCCCCTTCCTGCCTCCACCCCACTCTCCTCAATTGATTTTATTTTATTTATTGTTTTGCTTTAAACTATTAAAATATTGTCTGATGTTTTTTCCCCTGCAGACTGGCAGTGCCTTCTTGTGGCATCGTTTTTGGTTGTTGACTCAAGTTTTTGGCAAATAATTTGATTTCCAAAACAATAAATAATCGTAAATCTATAAATTACACTTATTCCGGCTTAATAAAACATTTTACAGGATTATGATCATCCAAAAAAAAAGCTGAGAAAAATTTGTCAGCTTGTATGGTTAGCAATTTTTTTTGGTATCTGAAGTTTTATGAATTATTTAATAATATTTCTTATTTTTTTTTTCCCCCACTAAAACATTTTCTTTCGTCCTTAATTTATACGCTCTTGCCCCCCTGTCTTCACCCAATAAAAAGAAAGTAAATAAATTAAGGACAAAGTCCTTCAATAGAGTCAAATAAGCTGAGAAGGCGGAACTTGCGCATAAATTAGCCGTTTGCATTTGAAAATTCCCAACTTCCTTCTTCCAAAATCAATTCGATACTTTGCGGCAACAAAGACGTTCTTTTTTTCCTATTTGTTCTGCTGAAAAGCTAAAAAGTTTGTTTCTCCATTTTTCATTGCTTACAACAGAAAGTTTTAAGTAAAAAATAAATTTCTGCCAAGCCAAAACTAACAAAACAGAGCTGGCAAAAAAATGAGAAAAGTTCTATGTGCCTTTCCGTATAATTTTTGTTTGGATCTCCACGATTTTTTTTTGCAGTCATCCAATAAGGGAGACCGACAGTCAGTCAGTCACTTGGTTCAAGGGGAGAAGACTGAGATTAT